CACTGGTTCACAAGGAAACCCAAGGCATGGTTATCTCTGGAATAAGTGAATTTCTTTTTGCAGCTCACCTACACTGACCCTTTGTGTGGTTGTTGGAAACAAGGTGTTGCTCAGCTTGATAAAACAGGGTTAATTAGTTGTTATGAAGGAGATATGGCTTTTTGAAGGTTTAACTCCTGACCTCTTAGTAGACTCAAGGATAAGCATTCTGTTTGCATTGCTCCCAACCTACATGGTGAAAACCCTCATCATCTTGAACCAGCATGTCTCAAGGGCTTTTCTGGGGGAAACTGCCTTTTTTGCTTTCAGGTTTTCTACTAGATCTTCCACTCACCCAATGCTCACCTGGTGCAGCATTTCCCAGGCCATAACTGAGTCATTCCACCAGTCTGCACTGGAAATGGCTCTAAATGCAATCATAGCTGCTGTAGGTGCTTTGTTATGGAAATACTGTTTTTTATAGAGGTGCTTTGGTGACTCACCTCTTTATCCATCGCCTGTTCGAAGCAGTGGCTGCAGTGCAGCAATGGGTGAGTGCATGGCCATCTGCCCTGTTCCTTCAGCTGTGCGGTGTCTGACTACCAGAGGTCTTCCTGTGCCAAAGAGTGTAGGAAATTTTACAGTTTAAATATGTGATTGATTTTAGAGTGCGTTGGAGCAACTGAGGTGTTTGTCACCCTTTACATGTATAGCAGCTGTTGAGCATGTTACAGGTGCTGCTTTGCTGCAGCCTGGGTTCGTAAAAGGTCTTAAAATAATAATACTAACAAAATTTCAAAGACCAACCCAAGAAAAACAAAGCATGGCTATTTGAGGATGGGAGAAGCTTTGATAAAGCTTAGGTTTGCTGTGCTGAGAGGCTGCAGATGCCCATGCCTCACCTGTGGCTTTTCTGCCCTACAGGCATCGACATCCTGAAGCTGGTGGCCGCCCAGGTGGGGAGTCAGTGGAAGGACATCTACCAGTTCCTGTGCAACGCCAGTGAACGGGAGGTGGCGGCTTTCTCCAACGGCTACGCAGCTGACCACGAGCGTGCCTACGCCGCCCTGCAGCACTGGACAATCCGCGGGCCTGAGGCCAGCCTGGCCCAGCTCATCAGCGCACTCCGCCAGCACCGCCGCAACGACGTGGTGGAGAAGATCCGAGGCCTGATGGAGGACACCACACCGGTAACAAAGGGCTCAGCTTTGCATGGTCTTGGCCAATACAGGGCACTGCATGTGAGGGCGTGGGACCCAGTTGTGGCCTTGAACTTAGCTAAGAGCCCAGTAGTTGGGCTCCATCTCTCCATGTAGCTCGTCAGGGGCTTATAGTTAAGTTGTGCAATGCTTTTGAGCAAATCTTTGCCAAACTTTGCTCAAATCCTAGTCAAAGTTTTGATGAACTCTTGAGTCCTATGTGTTGTGCTTTGCACATATCTTCGAAGATCACCGCGAGGATGTGATAACCTTAGCCCTCATTTCAGGGACATGGAGGAAAAAGCATCCCCCTTTAAACTTGCTCTCAAACGCTATAATTAAATGCCATGGATTTTGTGAGAAGCATCTTTGAGCACTAAATGAGTTGCTTCCTCCAGGATGGTGACTGGTGGATCTGGGGAGTCCATCCATGCAGTCTTCCAGAGTTCTTGCCCTTCTTTGGCAGCTCTGGCCTTAAAACAACCTGTCCCATATTTTGGGACAATAAATAAATGGCTGCAGAATTTCCTGAAGTAGGTTCTTGGCCAAGTGTAAGTTAGTGGGAGGTACCCTGGTGACTTTAGCAGTTTGTTTTGGCCACCACTGCCTTACTTGTTTCAGTTTTTTGGCTCTGGTAACTTGGTGATCTTCTCAGCATGTTTGTAAAGGTGATGAATGGGGCTTTTTCTGAATGTGGAAGCCAATGGGACAACATTTGAATGGGAGTGATTGAGGGACAACTGTTCCCCCAAAACTGGTTGGTGAAACATTTCCCGTTGTCTTAGCCATGACCCAATCCCAAAGGGGAGCAGTTGGGTGCCTGCAGACCTCTCTGTGCGCCTGGCAGGGTAGACCTTCTCGTATAATAAAGCTTACGGGGCAGAGCATTTGTCAGGACAGGGGATTTCCAAGTCCTGTTTTGACCATCACAGACTTCCCCCTATTAAACGTGAAGCTTGTTCATCAGCACAATGCCTAATTAACATACTCGGGCTCTACAGTGCTCAACACTCCTGAGCATTGTGCTGTTTTGGCCAAGACCATCAGGTGGTGCTTCTGAAACAGCTCAGAAATGTGTGTGGCAGCCCAGGAGCAGGGTTTATTGGGTGACCTGTCAGCAGGGTGGGCTTCTCAACAATGGAGTAACCACAAGCCATTGGCTTGTACATGCCCATAACTCTGAAACTACAGTGAATAGGTGCTCTGGAGAATGAGAAACCCCAAATCTCATGGATAATTGTATGCAAGTTTTCTGGGCTTCCTGACCAGCTTTCCTGGAGGATGTTTATCTTTGCTTTTTTTTAAAACAGCATGTGGTGTTCCTCAGTGTCCAGCAGCACCTGGATTCTGGTGTCCCCCGCAAGTTTCACTTCCTTTCCTAGAAATGGGTAAAATTGGGTTGCTGATCTTTTGAGCAGGTGGCTTGGGTGGGTCCACATGAGAAATTTGGCTTGTTTCAGCATAGGAATTGTTTTTTAACAAATGCACCCAAGCTGGCACATCCTCCTCCCCCACACATCTGATTGGGCTTTTCCAGATGAGCGTCCCTCATGATCAACCTTAGGAGTTGGCCATTCCTGTGCCCTGGAGGTCCTGAAGCTTCGTGTGGGATGTCAAAGCCTTGAAGTACCCCAGGGTGCAGATTTAGCACAACAGCACATTGTGTTTCTGCAAGGTGTTACCTGCTGTAACCTGTCTGCCTCCTCTCCCTAAATTGGCTCCTGCACTGTCGATGTGGGTGGTGAAAGAATGGCCCTGGGAGGGGTTCAGGAAGCTGTGGGAAGCAGCTTGTGCATGGGAGGCCAAATCGTGGAGAATTTTGCTGGCGGCTGATTGGCATCACAGCAGTCCTGGGAGCCAAGTGCTCAATACCAGGAGCAGGCATGGAGGTTGATCTTTGGGGTTTTTTTAATCTACTGTTTGAAAAGCCTTTAATTAGAGCCAATTGGGGTTTGACTCTCAGCAATATGTTGGTCCAAATGCAGACAAAGCGAGGCAATTTGTCTCTGTACCAAACTGGTTTGATCTGGAGAAGTGGGTTGCCCCGTTGGTGGCAGATGCGGGTGCTGCACTGTACCTCTCCAGCCCTGCAAAAGCAGTCTTGCAAAAAAAGTCCAAACCAGCAAAATAGAATAAAAATAGTTTTTTGTACTGTGGAGGGAGTGAGGACCGTCATAAGCAATGCAAATACATGCATCTTCCCTATGGCTAAGTTGCCCAGAGGGGTTCTGGATGTCCCATCCCAGGAAATGTTTAAGGCCAGGTTGGATTGGGCTTGGAGCAACCTGGTCTAGTGGAAGGTGTCCCTGCCCATGGCAGAGGGATTGGAACGAGATCATTTTTAAGGTCTCTTCCAACCCAAACCATTCTGTGATTCTAAGGAACAGCATGATGCCCTTGGGGTGACCTGAGCCAGCAGCGAGCCTCTAACACATGCTGGTGTGTCCTACATGAGCCCAGGAGGGATGAATACATGGATGGCTGTGATGCCTGTAGTGCCTTTGGCCCCACCTGGCATGCCTGGGTGCAAAAGGGGGTTTCCCCATTTCTCTCCATGATCCTGTGTCATCAGAAATCACCAACACCCTCAGCTCATAAGTAAAAAAATGTGTCATTGAATGCCATAGCTCTCAGACAGCAAATTGGTACCCTAAACCTAGCCAGACTGCCTTCACCATCCCATCCTACCTGCTGTCACATCTTTGTGCTAAATCCTTTATCTGGTGTCTGGCTTCACCCTGTAATGGGTGAAGTAATGCTCCTGTATGGAGGCAAAGCTGCTCTTCCCATAGCGCCCCATTGCTTCAGCAGCCTTTTGTGCTCTGAAATCCAAATATTTACAAACCCTGATAGAGGAATTAATCAGAGTCCCTGGAGCGTTACGGTACATGGCAGGAGCATTTTCCTTCAGGTAGGGAGCAGCTCCACAGCAGACTTGGCAGAGTTTTTAGCTGCAGGAGATTATGCTGGTTTTGCACGGTGCTGGATGAATTTAGGTTAAAACGAGATTAGCCCTCTGAATCATTTCGCTCAGGGTTTTTTGCAGCTGAGCCAGAAAATACGGCAAGCACAGCAGCTGTGTGAAGGTTTTTTGGGGTATATTTAACTCACAGGGCTCCTGTTAAAACTTGGCCCTGGCCATGAACACTCCGCAGGCTTGAGCTTTACAAAATCTCTCCCGTCACAGGCAGGTTTGCCAGGCAGCAGCGTGCGAGCCTGGGCACTGCTTAGCAAGCACAGGCACACCCCAAATTAGTGGTGCTGACAACAACAAAAATAGGGGATAGAGGGGGGAAAAAAGGGAGGGGTCTCTCACTGCTATCCCAGCAAATTGCAGCTCTCCATTTTGAGGGTTAAAATTAGACAAGTTCAGTGAATCTACTGGGGAGTGAGGTTTTTTTGGGGTGCATAACAGCATTTTTCAGCTATGGAGGAGTGCCTGTGCTCACCTGGGTTGGCCTGGGGTGGAGCTGGCACAGCTGGTGGTGTTGGCTACCCTGAGTGCCTTGCTGTGAGCAGTGCTTTAAGCTCTCAGTGTTTTATTTATGGCTCTGCTGGCCTTGGCTGAAGTATTTCAGGGACTGGGTGGAAGGGAAGCAAACAGCCTCACTCAGGGTTTTCAGCAGCACAGCCTCAGCAAAGCTGAAAAAAAAGACTAAGGGAGATGTTGAAAGTGGAGAGGGGGAGGCTGCAGCCCCAAGCCCAGCAAGGTTTAGGTCTGTGGCTAATTTCATGCTGCGGATAATCCCATGAATTAGCAGATGTGTCATGGCTGGAGCTGGTGTGAGGTTAAGCCGTGGGGTTTTTGGGGGTGCCAGAGGAGAAGATGATGTGAAAGCAGCCCTGTATCCAGGCATGCAACTCTGGCAGTGCCTTGTGGCTCCTTTTCTTGCTCTTTTGCAGGTCAAAACCATGAGGGTTGGAGTCAAGAGCCTGGAGCAGCGTTTCTCAAATTCAGCCCCTGTCAGCTCCCACCCATCCCCTTTGTTTCATAGTTTGGCAATGCAGAACTGGGTTGGGCCCAGTAATTAGGAATTAACTTTGTGCTGTGTTAACCTCACGTGTCAGCAGTGGAGTGAGGGTTGGATGGATTTTCCAGCCAGAGGAGACTGTGGTCTAAGGGCTGGGAAATGCCCAGGCAGCCTGGAAAAAACAAAATTGCCTGCACGTTTTACTTCTGGACTTGCATCAGGTTTTACTTGAGGCACAAAGCTGTAGGATAAAGTAGCCAGAGGCGTGGGGAAGGGATAGAGCTAGCTGGGTTTTGCTCCAGGTTTTCCTCCAGAATTGCTCTAAACCATGAGGTGATTTTCAGCAACCCAAGGTGAGGTTTGAACTAGGCCGGAGAATGTGCAATAAGCAAAAAGTAATAATTTATAAAGCAATTCAAATATAAATAACATAAACACAAAAATATAAACTTTATATATGCAGTGATACTCAAGGTTTCCCTGCTGTAGTGGCCCCATCTCCTGGGATCTGTCTGTTTGCAGTGTGGGGCTTGGGAGCATAAAAGGAAACTAGAAGATGGTTTCTTCTACTAGCCAAACTCAGTATCAACTTACTCAGCCTGTAATAGGGTTTGAAAACTCTTCATCTTGGTTTCATCAACTCTTCATTATGGTTTTGAGTTGAAAAAGTGAGTGGGCAAATGCACAGAAATGAGAAGCCACCAGGCGTTCTCCTGGAGACGACAGCATCTCATGTTTGGAGAAGCATTTGGCCCCTGAATGGCAGGAGCCGATGAGGAAGAACTGCTTCCTCTGTGGGTGGCTGTGTTTTGGTCTTGGTATTTAAACCCTCCCCACACCCATCATTGCCTGTCCTGGGTTGCATGAGGCTTGACTTGAGTGGCTCTTCTCCAGGACTGCCTTGTGTTGAGGGATGTGGCCCCACCACAGAGATGCACCAAGCACTATTCTGAAACCCTGCTGGTGAGATGAAGGGCATGGAGAGGAAATTTGGGCTTTCCCACCCCATCATCCTTGTGCCCTTCGCATATTGGCGAAGGGTTTGCCTCCTGCTCTGCAGGATCTGCACACCGTCACTGCATCTCAGCCACCTCGATGAGACCTCATGGCCAGTGTTTAACGTGCCAAGGTCTGGTCTGCATTGAAGGTGGATCCCCAAACACCACATGGACCATGAAGCCACTTATCCAAGTGGATCCTGCCTACATCTGTGGGGTCCATAGCAAGAGCATCCCCCACCAACACCACCCTGTGCCTCCAGCCTGGCCTGCGCCAGGCTGCCACCCAGTGCACCCTGCTTCATATGCTGGGGTTTTTCCTGCTGCATTCCCTATGGAGGCATAACAGACCTGGGAATAGGGTTGGTGTCAGCCGGGTGTCATCTTTTGGCAGAGAATCTGGGAAACAGATGCCTCAGTGCTAAATTTATCCCCTCCACATCCCAGAGGGTACACAGCCACCCTCTGCAGCAGCCAACCTGCCACCGGCTTTTGTTCTCGCCTGGTTGCTGCAGGAGGAGTTAGAGGGAAGCATTGCCTGAGGGAAGGGTGTTTCTAGTGCCTATGACTGCTCCTTCCTAATGTTAGCACAGCAGCTGCAGTTTCTGTTTATCCGAGTTAAGCTTTTATTGCAGTACTGGTACAAAGGCAGAAAATGGGACCAACCAGTTCAAACAGAGCTGTTGAGAGCCTCTGTGAAAAGAAAACAAAGCCAAGCCTATGTCTTCTTCTGCCCCCATCCCCTTCTGTCCCTTTTCTTCCATTTAGGAAGGGCCTTCAGACACCCTGAGCTGCTTAGAGCATCCTCCCCGATGCAGTGAAATCCAAGAGGATGTCAGTTCTTGAGCCGCAGTCTAAAGGAGCTTTTAGGATTTTTTTATTAATATTTTTTTGACATTGCAAATCTCTTGCTGCAGTGCTAAAAAAAAAGCTTAAAAAAACCCTGGCAGAGCGCCCCAGTGTAACTGATGGGTCGCAGGAGGCTGCTAATGCGACAAAGCCAACGCGGTGCGTTCAGTTTTCATGCTGGACTGTGCATGTAATAGTGTCCCATGTGTCTGTCTGTGCAGGTGCAGATGCAGCCTCAGTGGCAACCGCCGGACCCCGGCAACGAAGACATAAAGGTGAGAAAATTTGGTGGCTCTGGAAAGGCAGAAGGGTTGCAGGAAGGTGTGGTGTTGTGAGGTTTTTTTCCCAGCCAGAGCTTGGTTTCACTCAAGCACTGCCGTTCTTAAAAATAGGAATGGCCAAGGTGGTTTCAACCAAATGAGTCACGGGCTATGAATAGTGTGTTTTTACACCTATTCCACAGTCTTCACCTCGCAGCAACCTTTTGCATTCCCTGGCCTTTCAAAGCCCTCATTCCCACTTGCTTTCTTCCCCGCAGTTTAAATATTAACACACATCCGAGCATCCTGTTTGTTTTGCCTCAAGCTCACAACTGTTCAGCTATTTGGAAAGTTTTGGGTTCCCAGGGCACCTACAGTCTAATAACCTCGAGTGATTCTGTCTTTTCTAGCGTGTTTTAGCAGCTGTTTAATTAAACACCAAATGATTTTGTTCTGGGAAGGGATTTTCCTTTCTGCTGGGAAGGCAGAGCTGGGGCAGCTGGGTGCTCCCTGCCCTCCCCTTAGTCAGTTGCTGCTCAGTCATCCGGGCCCTCTTTGGGAATCAGTAGGTGGGTTTGTTGTTGGATATTAGAGATGAGCTGCACAAGGAAAAACTAACCCCTAAAGCCTGTGTTATTTTTAAAGGGGATATCAGAGCGTATTACAATTTGGAAGGCAGCCAGCTGCTGTTACAGTCCTTCCCTTGCTATTCCCCCTTAATGGCAATAGCTGATTCTTCATGATGAGCTGTACTGGAAAGGGAGTTTCAGAGGAGAAGGCAGATTCTTTTAATTAAAAATTAAAGCTGACTTTTATTTTTAACATGCCTATTGCGTAATGTGCTGAGCTAGAACAAATCCTCCCCTGTTTATTTTCAATGAGGGAAGAAAAAACCCTTTTATTCTACCAGGAACAGGCTTCAATGTTAACTTAATGTGAACTAATGGGCGTCCCAGCAGACATGTGATTTGTGGGTGGCAAATTCCTCGACACGGATGAGGAATATTCAGGCACATCCATTCCGGCATGGAGGTGGCTCAGCAGCTCCCTTTCCCACAGCCATTAATTCCAATTTTGTATTTTAATCCTTGGGTAGTAGGCAAAAGCATGTTAGCAGGAATAGCCTGGTCTCCCCCCTGTAGAAGGAGAAAATAGGGGTGTGAAATGCTGTTGTGCAGTGGGTTGCCTGTGGACAGTGTTTGCAGTTCTGCACTCTGGCAGATCGAACAGGGATGCAGGGTTTGGGAAGAAGTTGAGTATTACATGGTCCTTAAAGCAATCTGCTTGGTGGGACCCAGAAGGAAGATGCAGAGCACAGTCAAATTAGGAAGTGAGTTCACACCAGCATTCAAATCATAGAATCATATAATTCTTAAGGATGGAAATGACCTCTAAGTTTATCAAGTCTGAATGTTAACCCAGCATTACCATGTCCCCAAATGCTACATCCACAATTATTTGAATGCCTCCAGGGCAGCCTATTCCAATTCCTGACCACCCTTTCAGCCATAAACAGCCCCTGGCACAACTTGAGGCCATTTCCTCTCACCCGTTGCTTTTCAAATAGTGCTGCTTCCCAGTGCAGCATGTCCCAGGAGTACTTGCTGCTCCCTGTGTCTTTGGGACTGTAGAGACAAACTCTTGCCCCTGGCTCACGTCAGGGTAGGAAAAAGCAAAGGCTCCATTGTGGTCACTGCCAGCTCCTGCCTGACCTTCATGGCCCTGAACTTGGAGTGTGGTGGGATGGACTTCTCCATCAGGCCTTAATGGGGTGCTTACAGGATCAAGGGTGAGACGGGGCAAACAAATCATTAACTCAAAGTGTGACCAGTGTAGCTGGTCAGAGCCACGTGCTGCAGCAGAGATCGCCGAGGGGTCTCACAGCTCTCGCCATGCAGTCTTGGCACTGGTTGGAGGCATGGAGCCAGGCTGTGCCTTGCTTTCAGCAAACATTAGGTGTGGAGCAGATTTGGGGGATAACTTACCTGCTTGGGCATCGTCACCTGTTGCCCCCAAGAGCTGTGCTTTGGGTTTCATTAAACTGAGAGTGAGAAGGAAAACCAAGCTAAAATGCTCTGCTCTGTTTGCAAGCACAGTCCTGGTGCAGTGCTTTTTTCTACCAAGGGTGCAGATAGTGTTACCCCTCCTGCCTGTTGAGCACTGGCATGCCAGATGCCAGCTGATGTCTACTCTGGGTCATCTCCAATGCCCATTCTGGGTCAGTAGGTCCCCTGGGAGGAAGCAGCCACCAATGAGTGGACCACTTGCCAAGAGAGGCCCGGGGTGTGTTGAAAGCCAGGGTGTAGGTGGTTTTGAGTACAAGTTAGTTGCGTAGCATCCCCTCAAGTTAATTTCTTCTTTTTCTTCCCCCCAAAGCTGGAAGGTGACAAACTGGCACCGCCGGCAAGCCCCAGCCCGGTGAGCCCTGCGCCCACCCCCAGCCCCAAGCCCCCTGAGGCAGCCGTCCTCACCGTGGAGCCCTCTCCTTCCGAGAAGAAATGCTTCTTCGTCGACGAAGCAGAGCCCCTCCTGCGGTGCGACTCCACCTCCAGCGGCTCCTCCGCGCTCAGCCGGACAGGCTCTTTTATTACCAAAGGTACCAAAGCCAGCCCAAGGGGGAGTGGGAGGACTGAAAGGACACCATGACATGTCCCGTGCAGTCAGCACACATGGTAGAGCTGCCCAACATAAGATAGCATTAAAGTAAATAACTGGGAAAACTGGCTCTCCAGGATACATTTATTACATCCTCGTTCCAGACCAGAATATCCTGTTAGCAAAGATGATAAAGATTTGAGACAGAAAAACACATTTAAAGGCTTTTAACTCTTTGAAGTTCTGCCAGGGAAGTTGTAGCATCCCTGGATGTTTGAGGGGGTGTTTTTCCTGACTTTTGGCTGTTGTGTTGGCCTGTGTATTATTGTGTGAGATGAAACCAGAGAATATAATTTCAAGGTTGATTTTTTCCTTTTTTTTTTTCCTAATTTTTTTTCACTCTTGGTTGCATTTGCTGCAGCATGTGACTTGAGATGTAAAGCACCATTAGTCATCCCCCTTTTTTAGGTGGTTTAATTTACTCTATTTAACTTGCTGCATTTAATCATCTTTAACTTCTGATAAAGGTGAAACACTGCGCTCAGCCAATCTACCAAATTTATGCTTGGGTGCAGAAATGGAGCTGACCCAATGAAAACAACTTGAAAGAGCAGAATTCAGCTTTTTTGGCTCCTCTCCTGCCCTCACTTTTCCGTATTGGCCATTCAGCATTTACAAATGCTGCGTTTGCTCTTGAGGGATCTTGACTGAGGTGCTTCAGCAGCACTGGTGTCTCCCATCTTCTCTCCATTGCCCTGCACCTCTTCCCTCAGTTCTCCTTGTGATATGTGCCTCTCCAGAGGTGGCACCAGGGGATGGACCAAGGAGAACAAGCCCTGTTTAGCAGAAGTTCCTTGAGGAGTTTCTTGACCACCCTCTCCTTTCCTCCTACAGAAAAGAAGGACACCGTCCTGCGCCAGGTGCGCTTGGACCCTTGCGACCTGCAGCCCATCTTTGACGACATGCTGCACATCCTCAATCCCGAGGAGCTCCATGTGATAGAGGAGATACCGCAGGCCGAAGATAAGCTGGACAGGCTATTTGAGATTGCTGGAGTCAAGAGCCAGGAAGCCAGCCAGACCCTCCTGGACTCTGTCTATAGTCACCTTCCTGATTTACTGTAGGCACTGGGTCACCACACACTCCGAATATCTGCTAGAGCTAGCTTGGCACTCGTTAAGATGACCGACAATATGCAGGCAGGTTTTGTTGTAGAATATATGGCCAGTATTTTCGTTGAGGTGTCCTTGGTTTTTGGAGGGGGGGCAGTTTGCCAGCATTGCACCCCTCCACTGTAACTCTATCGCTCAGTCCAAGTCTTTGCACCCTCTGCCCCCTTTCCACGCCTCTCTTCTCCTTGTTCTCATTCCAATCAGATCAGCCGATGCACTTTAAAAAAATAAAAAAATAACGCAGTTAATGAACTAAAAGACCACGAATCTGGTGTAATTTTAACACATTGAAGTGGGGATTGCTCTGTAAATCCCTTTTTCTGTCAAAGCTGTCGCTCAGAGTGACCGTCTCCCACCATTTCTCTTCGCCTCGGAGCAGTAAATGGCAAAATCACACAAAAAAAAACACCCCAGTTGTTGCTGATTACTGTCTCTTAACGCAGCTAAGCTTCCCACCCGAGCTGACTTTTTTTTTTTAATGTACTATTGTATGGCTCATATCCATTGCTGAGATTTTACTAGCACGGTTATTTATTGTATGGTTTTCACCTGGACAATGCATCGCGCTCCTATACGCTACAGCAGAAGTGCTTTACTGCAAAGAAAAGGGGCAAGTCCCACCAACCTTCAAGGCAATGGAAAGGTCCTTTGCCTTCAGTCGAATGTAAGGAGTTTACCTTGCCTTGCCATGTGTGGGAACAGTGGGGCCCCAGAGGGAGCCGGTGCTGGATGTGGGGAGGCAACGGCGACCGCCCGTCGTCCCCCTCTCCTCGTGCTGTGAGACTTAAACCAAGCTATGCTTTTACACTCGTGTCTCTTGTTTTTTATACAGACGTGGCCGATAAGTTCTCTGAAGACCTCTCAATAGTCTGTTCAAATCACACTTCACTTTTTATTAAAAGAGGTTGGGGGGTGGGGGAAAAAAGCTGCATCGTAAGAAGTCTGTCTGATTATATTTGCAATTATTATGCTCCCGTAACAAACAGTCTGTACTACGCTCAATTTGAAGAAATAATGATATGAGGGTGGCATGAGCTGCCCCATGGGAAGGGGTGGGAGTGGGGAAAGAGGGGAATGAATTGAAAAATTGCCTTCCAGTGTACTAATTTATTAATAAATACTAGGTGTTTGTTACTTGACATGGTTCTGTCTTAACCTCCTTAACAACTGCCTCTACTCAGGGACACCTGGGTTGGGTCAGGGGCTTGCTCAGAGTGTCCATGGGGGAGTGATGAGAGAGATTTTGGGGCTGGTGAGGGGGTTGTATCCTTTAGCTTTGATGCTAAAATGCGATTGTTTTCTGTTGACAGCATTGCCTTAAGCCCCCATGGTCACTGCTGGAGCTCTGCAGGTCCCTGCACTGTGCTGTGCTGGGGGAATGTGTGTTAATCCCCATAGCAGTGACAGATCAGATGGCTGATGGGGCTTCCAGGGTTGGTTTTTGCAAGCTCTCAAAGGCTTTACAGGCATTTTGGGGGGGCTGAAGTATTAATTTTCCAGGATGCAGCTGCTGTGCTGAGTCACTCCTGAGCTCCTGGAGTCACAGCGTTTCTGTTGCCGTTACATTACGCATGTCCTTAAAGTCACTTCCAAATAACTCATCCCTTGTTATTCTGTCTATGAATGGAATCCTTAATAGGACAAATGCTTCTGGTTTATAATACTGTCATTTTGTTTACTTGGCTCCAGTCTTTTCTGTTAACTAGGGTGCTGTGTTTTCCTTCTGTCTGGCACTGGAAATTGCTGGTAGGGGACCATACTTTAGGTACAGGATTAAAACTTTTCAACACATGGACAGATGAAATACAGTGTGAAATAGCAAGAGCCTTTATTGGGAGCTTTGGGGTGGAGTTTTCCCTCACTGGCAATGAAGTATTGAGCTCTTGGTGCCTGCAATGTGTCTTCAAAACATCATGAATAAATAGTGCGCCTGGTGTGCGCGGGGTTGCTAAAAGTCATATTCTGGGGTGGAGCACAGTACCAGCCTGTTGGCAAGTGTTGTTTACCCAGCATTTACCTCTGTGCTGGGAGCAGTGGTGGTGGCTGTCAATCCATCTGGACAAGAATTGATAAGGGGATGGAAGGTGTGCAATTGTGAGCTCAATCAATAGGTGGCTTTAAATTATTCTTAGTAGGCTCTTGGAGCAAGTCCAGCTGGGAAATTAGGAATTTGTCCTTTACTGGTGGTCCAGGTTCTCCCAGGTAAACCCATGGGTTGTAAGCACCGGAGCCATCATAACCCTCTCTCAGGGAACCACCAGCCTCATCCTGCAGCTCCATTTCTTGTCCTAGCAGCTGATCACATTTTCCAATGGCCTTTGAAGGTAAAGCAGAAAAAAACCACCAGTCCTGGAAAGAGGATTTAGGAGCCAGCTGAAGAAACACCACGGAGCAGGCATGTCGTCAAGGTGCCATGTCCAGGAGATGCAGAAGAGGCACAAGGAAACTGTTGGGTCCCTGGGCTGTTGGGATGCATTTAACTCATCTTGGTGGCAGATTGTGGGACAAGTCAAGATTTGGGCAGTCCTTGGCTCCATCTGTGCTGTGCACACTTCCAGCATCACATCCTCCTTTGTTTGCACCTGGATGTTGGTCTTGTCCCTGGCTCCATCATTTCTGATTCCAGACTTTTTGCTGTATACATATATATATTTATTCACAGAACCATTTGGATTGCAAAAGACCTCTGAGAACAATCAAGTATCCAAAACCATCTGTAAAAAGTGGTAAGGAAAGGGCCAGTGATGTTTGTGCCCAACATACACACAAAAAAATAGTGAAACATTGTTTTTCAGAATTGTATAAGAAATGAAGACCTGGGTAACGACAAGCTTTTACCTCATAGAATAGCAGAATCATTAAGTTTGGAAAAGACCTCCAAGATCATCAAGTCCAACCTTTGACCCATCACCACTTGGTCAAGTAGACCATGGCACAAAGTGCCATGCCCAGTCATTTCTTGAGCACAAATATATATATACACTACATGTTTTAATATATTATGCTAATTATATATTTATGCATTTTTCTATATTATTTTCTTACTACGTATTTTTATAGGTGTATAATATATAAATATTTTTGTCTCTGGGGGTGTGCAGGGGAAATGTCAGAGCAGCTGAGCCCCACATACAGGCAGGATATTTCCTGGCAGCGTGGGAGGTGTGAGGAGCTACAAGCCCTTCGCCCCCATCCTTCCTCTGAGCCAGCTCTCTTAAGCCTTAAGAAAATAAGCCAGGCAGGTGGGATCGATGGGTTCATGACCTGGAGACATAACTCCATGGGAGGAGGGATTGTTCTTGCTCTCATCCTTGGCTTATTTGAGGCATCGTGGGCCAAGCACAAACCATGCACGCTGCAGCACCAATTGTGATGCGCAACTCAAATGGGTGAAATCTTTGGCTAAATGGATTTAGCAAGGTAAAGCTGTGAATATAAAGACCTTTGTAAATGTATACAGTATGCATAAAAATTACTTTTTGACAAAGTCTGCATTAAAAAATGTGCTTGAGAGTGCATTATAGGTGAGCAGTGGGGTTTGCCCCTTGCCTGGCCTCGCTCAGTCACGGTGTTTGCTCCCTGTATGCTGTCCCTACCTTGGGTGAGGCAGGAGGGGAGGGATTTTGGTGCTGGACTGGTAGTCCTGGAAGACAGAGTCTGTGAAACCAGAGGACAGGAAGCATGACAAGAGCACAGCCATGCTCCCCTCTTCTGCCTGCTGTAGGCATCTTGCTTCAGAGCAGAGACTGAAATTCTGGTGTAGATCACACAAAGCATCAGCTGCTCCAGTGCTGCTCGCTGGGTCTTGGACATGAGGTGTGGACATCACATCTGCCCCCAAAGGTAACTGTTTGCTGGAACAAAACCCTCTGCAGAAACCTCCAGCATGGCCTGGCATCCTCAGGATGGGCTGGATCTGCTGTTCCAGGGTCTTTTAATTCCTTCAGTGCAAATGAGGTTTGGGGATTATATTTTTTCATCCCCTTTTTTTTCCCCCCATGAATTGCAGGTGCTCCCCACAGAAGAACAAGGCATCTGGTGCACTTTCCTCCTACCCCCGCCAACTGGAGTTTATCCTAATGGGACACTAATTGCAATGTTCTGGGCGTGGCTGCTGGCATTCCGTTTGGAAAAGCACCCAGGCTCTTCGGGGAGGTTATTCACCCCTCTGGCTCCTTGTGCATCTGCTAATTTTTGGTGGATTGCAACAGTCTCTGTGTAGGAGGGACCATCTGTGCAGCCTTTGTGTGAGCAACCTGCAGGGAGATTGGTGGTGATGCTGCTGAGGATGTCCTGCGGGCTCAGTGTGGAATGTGGGGGTTATTTGGGGGGTCTATGCCCATCACCAAGGATACAGGGCCAAACTGCAGTGTGTGGGAGGGAGGCAGGTTGGTACAGGTACAGCTCACCCCAAAATCATCCTCTGGGATTGCTTGGCCACGAGCTTTACATCACAAAGGCTTTGCCGTTTTTTCTTCTCTTGGACTTTGCTTCTGTGAGAGTCGTGACTGGGAAGTTTCCAGGGCAACTGGTAGGAAATGGGAAGATAGAGTAGTAGTAAGAGGAGCCATGTATGTATACTCATTGAATACACGCCTGGTGGCACCCCCCAAGGCATTTATTCCACCAGCCTTTAGGACACAGCTGCTGCTTCCCTCTGTGAGCATTCATGAGCATTACAGTTTCCTTTAGACTGGTAATTTAATTTTCCTTTCTTGCTGGGGTGGGTGGGAGAGGAGGGACCTGGTGGGATGGAGGAGGACCTGCCTGTTGTAGCAGCTGTGGTGTTTCTGGCAGCTCACAGATGCTGCACTGTACCCCAGCTCCTGCTCCCCAATTTCTGCTCCAAGCCTTGCAGGGACCCCTTGGCTGCCACACCAGCTTCACCTGTCTGCTCCCTGCCCATTACAGACAAGATTAACTTCACTTTAATTTAATTTGAAGGAAATGAGCTGTTCTGTAAGCATGCTGGTCTCAAAATGCATTTCTTAGCACAGAGGCTTTTGCCAAGACCTGTCAGGCTCAGTGGGAAACCCGGACCGGGGCAGGACATTAATCTGCCTGACTTTGTTTCCAGCAGCCCTGATCTTACCAGGCTAATACTTGGTGAGGAATATATTAACTAAACCACTGATCTTCCAGGGTCCTTCAATGGGCTGATGAGTGCTCTTCATGGTAACTGTTCTTCTCTTACTGATAGTTAATTTATTTTAAGAATAACCAATTGTCTTACCACCATCCCAGTGAGCAGAGCTCCAGGTGCCCAACAACTCACATTGGCAGCATTATTGTCATTTTACAGGTGAGGAAATTTGAACTCCCCGTCAGCAAACTGGTCAGAAAAAAAATCAGAGTGAAATTCAGAGAAAAGTCCTACTCCATCAGCCCCTGCACCAGCCTCCCTCAAAGACCATATGGATGAGATTTGAGGTGGAAAGTGCTGAACCTCAGCAAATGGGGAGGGTTGGAGGCAGTGTTCCCAAACCATGCTGCCATTAATTAATTTGCCCATTAAACTAGTTTTTGAGCTGGAAATATATCTGTGGCCATGCTGGCTTCGTGGTTAGACCCTCTGCCTTCCTCTTGCCCCATCTTGGCAAGTGCAGCTGGGAAGGAGGTCTAGTTATAGAGCTGATCCAACAGGCCTGTCTTCCTGTTTCCCCCAGAGAAAACCACTCACTCCTGCCTTTTGTCTCAGCCTGACCTATCTCCCCCACAGCAGGGATGCTCCTTTGGCATCTGGATCTGACGACACTGGAGGATATGGCTAGGGGTTACAGCAGAGTGGCAGGCTAATGGTTGGACTTGATCTTATCTTGATGATTCTATGATTCTATGATTCTCCCTGCCCCGTGCAAGGGTCATGGCAGTGATGCCTGTATTGCTGATGGAAGAAAGACACAAAATCAGTGAGTGAAGCAATTGACTTTGCAATCAAAACAATTCCATGGGGTCAGGGAACTCATCCCTGGAAATCACAGCTGCTCATGAGTGGTGAAAACCTTCTCATCAGATTCCCTCAAGGGGAACTGCAACTTCCCTCAAGATTTCCTCCCTGCTTTTGCCAGACTTGGGGCAATGGGTGACAATCTGATAAGTTCAGTATTTTTTGAGTGCCTTCCCTGTTTTGGGGCTGCAC